CCAACCTAAATAGCATACTTGCATAAAACAGTACGGAACTCAACAACACCACCCTCAAACTTTTGTCCAACACTCATAATATTATTTCACCAACCAGTTGACAATAACACCTTTTCTTGGTGAAAACAAAACTTAGAGAATGAATTCCTTAGAGAACAAAACTTAGACCCCACTTCATCCTCTTGATCAGAAGTACTACATCTAGTAACTGAAACATCAACTATATCAACACCACGTGCACAAACAACCCTCAACATATTCAGAAAATCAATATCATTTTGAACCATACAATTCGGATGACCTATAATAGAATATGAAATACACATCTTCTCAGGTTGCAAATTCTCCCATGTTTTACACAATATGCCAACCAATTCCTCAAAATTCAATTCGCATGAAACATTAATGACAATAGTATCATTCCCATATTTGCACAGCAACAACACTGCACTGTCCATCAAAACTGAAAGAAAAAAACAAGAAAAATAATTTGTTCAACATAAAAACACTTCACAAGAACAACATAAAAGTTCAGAGAAATTTCTAATAATTATAATTTTCTCTGGATTATAATAACGAGCTTATAACTTTCTCTGGACTCAAATAAAAGTCCAGAGACATTTACAAATTTATATTCACCTTCAAGATAACAAAAATAAAATCACAGAAAAATTAATGAATCCAAAGAGAATCACAGAGAAGTTTACTGTTAACTATTAAACATAATCATAGACAAAAAACACACAGAAGATCTGTTATAAAATTATAAGTTTCTCTGTGATTTTCACTGAAGTACAAGCTTACAATTTTCTTTGCGTCATTCTGCAATATTACACTCATATCGAAGTCCAGAGAAATTTACAAACTCATATACACCTTCAAGATAACAAAAAAACAGTGCACTGCCCATCTAAACTGAAAGAAAAAACACAAAAAATAACTTTTGCTCAGAGAAACAAAAACTTATATTCATTTTCTGCAAACTTATAATTTTCTCTGAACTACAAACTGAAAGTGAATAACAAACTTATAATTTTCTCTCAACTACAAACTGAAAGTGAATAACAAACTTATAATTTTCTCTCAACTACAAATAAAAGTCCAGAGAAATTTAAAAACTTACATTCACTTTCTCAGATTCTATCTGCATTAGAAACTAATAATATATCCATATGAACTTTTAATTTTCTCTGTCATTTTTGTTGGATTATAATAACAAACTTACAATTTTCTCTGGACTATACCAACAAAAGTGCAGAGAATGAAATTTCTTTGGTTTAAACAAATTTCTCTAGTTTGAAAAAATAGAGAACAAAACTTATCATTGATCAGCATGTTGATGAAAAACAAAGCACGAAAAATGAACTCTAATCAGCATGTTGATGAAAAACAGAGCATGAAAAATGAACTCTAAACATCAAAATCAACCACACTGTCAACACTCTTTGAAATTGATCAAAAAACAAAGAATGAAAAATTAATTCCAAAAATAAAAATCAACTCTATCAAGTTGGCATCTGTCTAAAATTGATTAATAACAGCAAATGAAAAATCAACTCCAAAAATCATAAACAATTTCACTAAGCTAGCCTCTCTTTTAAATTGATCAAAACTGAGAACAAAAACCTAATGCAAAAATACACTCGAAAAACTAATATGAAATCGGAATCCTTACATAAAATTCAAAACAAAAATAAAAAATTCATGTGGAATCTCTATCGAAACCATACCTGATTCAACTCTACTGAAAAACCTACGTGATCAACACACTATAACACCTACACGATCGTCGTAATCTCCATCGTGAAGTCCACTGCGACACTTGCGAAATCCTTACAAAATCTCTGACAAAATCTCTATCGTGAAATCAGTTTCCAAAATCTCACCGTGAAGTCAGCATTGCCAAAATCCAAACAATCTTATGTTATAACGAAGGTAAATTAGGTATTTTATAACATAAAATAAAGTTGAGGGACCTTAACCATCATAACATATTATTGTGTACCTCTCCTCCTATTAAAAGTTTGGGAGAGACCTTAGGCCAATTTTCCCAATATAATTTACCCTAAAAATGATTGGCAGCGTTTAGTAGAGTTTTAGAATTATGATTTGATAATAGAGTTGTATTTTGAGTTTGTGAGTTTTGGAATTATGATTTGAATGAGAAAAATTTGTTTGGTTATGAGTTTTGAAGAGAGTTTTGAAGAGAGTTTTGAATGGAAAAGGGGTCACTGTTGTGCTCAAAGCATAGCAGTGACTGTGATGCCTTCGTTTGAGGTGTATTATGATCTTATTTTTATGATCCAAACCGTTTATTTTGTAGGGTTTGTTGAGTAATTCATGCCTACCAAAAATCATATTAATCGGATATCAACAACTATATGATCTATAACCAAAAAAATAAATAATAAGTTTTTTTTTTGAGAAATAGTATAAACAATATGCAATTCGATCATATAGTTATTGATATCCGATTAATATGATTTTTGATAGGCATGAAGTACTCAACAAATCCTACAATATGAATGGTTTAGATCATAAAAATAAGACCATAATACACCTCAAACGGAGGCACCACAGTCACTGCTGTGCTTTGAGCACAGCAGGGACCCTTGTTCCGTTTTGAATTGAGTTTGAAATTTTTGATTTGACATTTGATATTTAATTCAAAAACTTACAACTCATAACCAAACACACAGCCCAAAATTCTATTCAAAACTTATAAAAAAAAATTAAAATATTTCTAAAATATTTTTTATTTAAAATATAAAAATAACAAGTGCAAAATAAAAAATACTGTTTCGGTCAACCGGCCAAACGACTGACTAGACGTCCAAGAGGATGACCGAGTAGACGAGATTTCAAACGCGGGTATGAAAATGATTTTTGACAACTAAAACTAAACGTAACATTCAAATCAATGGGTGAAAAATTGATTATAAACTTTTTTGAAAACTAAAACTAAACGTAACATTCAAATCAATGGGTGAAAAATTGATTATAAACTCCCACCAAACACAGCCTTATTTCTCTCACCTTCCTCCTAACTAAGTTAACCCATAATCCCCTTTGATAATTCTAATTGACAAAGCCCCAATTGTTTTTCCATTTACTGAGATAGATGATTGACATGACATTGTTGAGTTTGCATTGAAGGACAAATATGTATGTAGATTGTTGAGTTTGCATTGAGGGACAAATACATGTTGAGAGGGGAGTTTTGGATCGGACTGTACGGCTGAGCTACGGTAACGCGGGTTGGTCAATTCTCACGGCGCCGAGCTGTGTTCTCAGTTGGCGCGGCCCCCGGCTTGTCATGTTCCGAGGGAACCGGCCGATCAGGCATGGGTTGGGGTCTGACCGAGCAATGACCTGGAGGGCATTCGGCTGGACTCGAGATGAAGTGAAGCAACCGAGCTAAGGGCAGCCCAGGCCAGACTGAAGACAGGCGAGGGCCGGCGCGCCCTACCGGTCAGCCGAGGTGGCCGGACTACATATGATTTAGGATGAAGGAAGAGCAGGGAAGGGCCGGCACGCTTCATGACCGGTCAGCCAGGATGGACCGGTCACGCGCAGCTCGGTTATGAGAATCCGACTTTCTCTTGTTCCCAAGGGATAGGTCGGCAAGATACAGCTCAGTTGTATGGCTTGTGATGGCAATTCTTCTTAAGAGATAGACCGGTTGTGATACTCCGGTTAAGCATGCCACCTGGGCCAATGGCGTGAGGGAGAGGAAATCTGCTCCAGGCACGTGTCAATACCCTTTGGCGGTTCTGCATGTACTGGTTGAAGGACTAGGCCTTTACACGCGTAAAGTGGTGAGAGGCGAGCACTGCCAATTGTCCAGGGAAGGACAGCAGAGGTAGTGCGCGCACAATCCTGAGGCTGCATGGCCAGCCTAGAAATAGGAAGGGAAGATGAACGTTAGAGGTAAGCAACTCGCACTAACTGAAACATTCTCTCTCTCTCGAATAGCCTCTTTCTTCCTCTAGTGATCTGACTTGATCGTCGGAGGGTCTATCCGGCACACCACCGCTGGGCAGCTCACCGTTCTCTGTGTTATCAAGTTAGACGCCGTCACGTGAAGCTTGAACTCCAAGGAGTACGGAAAGCAAAGGAGATTTCGCCCCCCGTACAATTGGCTCCGTCTGTGGGAAGTTCTTTGATACTCAAACCTTGTTTTTCAAGCTTCCTCCACCATATCCATGGCCAACAACGACAAAACTCCACTGTCCGTCGTCGATGGCGTCACACCAGAGTCTGTCCGATGGAGAGAAGGCCCTTCGAATGTTCCGGCCATGGCGGGCCTAGAAACCTCTTCGCGAGGTGCGCGAGACAAACGCAGAAGGAGTACTGATCGCTCGAAGAGCCCAGAGGGCCGTCGGCAGTAGGGGGATTCCCGTGCGCAGCATCTGGAGCACAAACTCAAAGACCAAGATGCCCTCATTCACAGGATGGTGGCGGAGATGGAGATGCTGAAACGTCAGATCAAGATGAAGGGTGTTGCTGGAGAGGGCAACTTCAGTGAGCGCACCCCGTCCCCTCGTTCTAGCAGTCACCGCCAGGAGAGGACCCACTCTCTCTCCATCACCAGGAACTATAGGGTTAGAGATTTCGACCGAATGGAGGACAGATCCCTCACTCGAGATAGCACATACCGTCCCTCACGCCATTCTCTGACGTCACGATGCTCTTTCTCCACCCGTTCCAGAGACCTGAGGGATGTATTGAAGAAGAGGGTGCGCCGTCGAGAGGCTCAGAGAGTGCCGGCGTGGCAGAGATTGAGTGCCCCCGTTCACTGTAGCGAAGAAGTGGCGATGCCAGCGCCCAGAGTGATGGCCCATGCGCCAGTGGACAAAGAGCTGGCGAGACTTACAGCCACACCGTTGTCTCCGAAGATCGAGAGTACACTACTCCCTGTCGGATTCCACCAGCCTAAGTTCACCTTGTACGACGGCAAAACGGATCCGTACATGCACGTGAGTCATTACCGGCAAGTAATGGTTGGCCACCGGCGCAATGACGCCTTGATGTGCCTCATATTCCCAGCAAGCTTGGGAGAACTGGGCCTGAAGTGGTTCGAAAGGCTTCCAGAATGGAGTATAGAGGGGTGGCAGCAACTAGCAGAAGCCTTCGTCACCAGATTCAAAACCAACACTCGAACGCCGAAGGAGGTCGATCATCTTATAGGCGTCAAGATGGAGTCAGGGGGATCATTGAAGGCATACAACGCGAAGTACTGGGAAACCTACAACGAAATCCTCGACTGCCCTACCAATCTGGCGATCACTCAATACAAACGGGGTCTCCTAGTCGGGCATAGGCTGCGGGATTCGCTCACAATGCACCAATCCACAACCATGGAGTCCTTGATGCAGCGGATCAATAAGCACATTCGTGTAGAGGATGATGCCGCCTCCGCAATCAAGAAGGTTAATCCGGCCGCAGCGGACAGAAGGGTAGCAGGAAAAGTTCACTCGGTCAGGCAGGAGGATAACCGCCCAAGCGACCGGCCAAAAGATCAACGGCGTGGCCCAAACCGCGATGACAGAAACAAGGGTCGCAGAAACGACCGAGCTGATGCTCCCTGTGATGCAGCGGAGGATGCTAAGAGAAAATTGAAGGCGCGGACTGGAATCACCACGGTCTTTAAAATACCTATCTACCGCATCTTGAGTGAGATCAGAAGCGAGCCTTTTGTTTGCTGGCCGGCCAAGTTGGGGAATGCACAGAGAGGCTTCAACTCAAGGTATCGCTGCACTTTCCATGAGGAACGAGGACACCGAACGGAGGACTGCTTGCCGCTCAAACAACATTTGGAAGAGCTAGTGGCTGCGGGATATCTTGACCAATACATAGATGGGGGTATGAAAACCGCGCCATTGGGGCAAACCGAGCCAAACGGCCTAGCCGCCCTAGAGGCAGCACCCCAAGGCATAATCAAAGTCATCCATGGCATCGTTGAACCAGCAAGGGTCTGCGAACTCAGAGGGATGATTAAGAAAGCCGAGCACATAAGGGAAGTGCTCTCCGTTCAGCCCGCTGTGAAGAAAGGGAAGACCGAGGAGAAGGACATTCTTACCTTTTCGAGCAGGGACTTGGAGCGGATCCAGATGCCCCACAATGGCGCCCTAGTGGTAACTCTTCGCATCAAAGACTTTGACATCAAGAGGATCTTGATCGACCAGGGAAGTTCGGTCGAAATTATGTACTATGACGCGTTCAAACAAATGAAGTTGGAGGACAAGGACTTGGCCCCTGCGACGTTCCCTTTGGTTGGTTTCAACTCTCAGCCAGAGTGGCCGGTAGGGAAGATCATACTGCCGGTCAAAGCGGGTTCAATAACAAAGCAAGTAGAGTTCTGGGTGCTCAAAGTCCCATCCACCTATAACTTAATTTTAGGCAGGGGCTGGTTGCACGCCATGTAAGCAGTAGCATCGACTTACCATCAGGTCTTGCGTTTTCCGGCGCCAAACGGACAAATAGAGGAAGTTTGGGGAGACCAGGTGATGGCGAAACAATGCTTCGTTGCGGTAAATGGCGGCCGAGCAGCTAAAGGATTTGTCCAAATAATTGAGGGACCCGAGGGAAAGGAGGTCCTTGACGATGTAGGAAGAAAGGCCGAGGAAAAATCGGTCGAGGATTTGGTGGAAGTACGCGTCAACGAGAACGACCCAACTAAGTTCTTCCTCTTGGGATCATCTTTGGCAAGCGCCGAGCGGTTGGATTATGTCAACTTCTTGGTCTCCAACATGGAGGCTTTTGCGTGGACGCCTTACGATATGCCTAGCGTCGACCCTAACTTCATTTGCCATCAGTTGAACGTCTTCCCAAACGCGCGGCCGGTCATTCAGAGGACTCACCGCTCGGCTCTGCACCATGCCGAGGTAGTGGCAGAGGAGGTCAAAAATCTATTGGAAGCGGGAGCGATAAAAGAAGTGCAATACCCTCGTTGGATATCCAACACGGTGGTCGTCCCGAAAAAGAATGGCAAGTGGCGAGTCTGCGTTGACTACAAGACAGTTAACCGTGCATGCCCAAAGGATAGCTTCCCCCTCCCTCGAATTGACCAGCTGATGGACTTGACCGCTGGCCATCAGAGGTTTAGCTTCCTCGATGCATATCGCGGCTACCACCAGATAGCCATGTATGAACCAGACCGAGAGATCACATCGTTCACTACTCCTAGAGGCCTGTATTGTTGTAAGGTCATGCCATTCGGACTGAAGAACGCCGGGGTGACTTTTCAGAGAATGGTGAAAAAGATGCTCACTCCTCTTTTAGGCCGAACAATGGAGGCCTACATCGACGATATGGTGGTAAAGAGTAAAGAGAAGTCTCAACACCTCGCCGACCTAGCAAAAATGTTTGCCATACTTAAGCGCCACAAACTTCGTTTGAATGCCTCCAAGTGCGCCTTCGGCGTCGGCATTGGGAAGTTTCTGGGGTTTTTGGTCACAAACCGAGGGATTGAAGCTAACCCATCACAGATCAAGGCTATACAAGAGCTGGAGCGCCCAAACTCCACGAAGGACGTGCAACATCTTGCCGGGATGCCAGCCGCGCTGAACAGATTCATCAGCCGGTCTTCAGATCGTTGTAGGCCCTTCTTTAAAACTTTGAAGGCCAAGTTCTTTTGGGATGACGAATATGACCGTGCACTGGCAGACTTAAAAATATACCTTTCCTCAGCCCCTATCTTAGTCACACCTCGGCCAGGCGAAGAATTGTATCTCTACTTGGCTGTCTCTAAACATGCCGTGAGCGCCGTCCTAGTCTGCGCTGAAGGCATCCAGCACTTGCCAATCTTCTATGTGAGCAAGACTTTGCTCCCGGCTGAGACGAGGTATCTTCCAATGGAAAAATTAGCGCCGGCCCTGATGATGACATCAAGAAAGCTGGCACACTATTTTCATACCCATACAATAGTTGTGTTAACCGAGTTCCCGCTTAAGGTGCTTTTTGAAAAGGCAGACTTCACCAGAAGAATTTTGAAATGGGCCGTGGAATTAGGGCAGTACGATATCAAATTCCACCCGCGCACTACAATCAAGGCTCAAGCTCTTGCAGACTTTGTGGCGGAATTCGCCCTTGGAATGCATCCAGTTTACCTGGTTGATTTGGCTGGTGCAGATTTAGCACAGCCCACGGTTCTGGTGATAGAAACGAGTGTTGGCTCAAAAGCGGGAGAAGGCCGAAGAGCGACCGCACTAGAGGAGCCGAGTGACTTCTTGAAAGACGTGCTCAATCAAGGCAAGGAAAGAGACCAGAATGAACCGATCAGAGACTTGGAATTGAGAAGCTCCCAGAACCCCTCTGATTGCTGAAAGCTATTTATTGGCGAGATGTGGAAGCTCTTCGTCGATGGGGCATCCAACAGGCATGAGGCCGGGCTGGGTATCGTACTGACTTCACCAGATGGGCTGATTATCGAGCAGGCAATTACGCTCGACTTCCCAGCATCCAACAATGAAGCGGAGTATGAAGCCCTCATTGCCGGGCTAAGAAGCGCATTGAGAATGAAAGCGTTAGCCCTGATGGTATTCAGCGATTCCAAGCTGGTGGTCAATCAGGTCTCGGGGGAGTATTAGGCAAAGGATGAAAGAATGGCCAAGTATCAGGCGCTGGTACGCGCAGAGATCAAGAAGTTCGCTGCAATAAGGAAGGAATAAATCGACCACGAGGAAAACAGCGCGGCTGATGAATTGGCCGGACTTGCTTCTGCTCAGACAGCTTTTCCTAACCCCTTAATGATAGAATTTTTACCTCGGCCAAGCGTTGAGGAACCGGAAATGACCGAGGTGCTCTGCGCCGACTTGGGTCCTTCCTAGATGGACCCCATCATCGTCTTCCTGAAAGATAGAGTTCTACCAGAAGAGAAGAAGGCGGCCAACAAGATCTGGGCCAAGTTAGAGCGGTTTTGGCTCTCCCCATCCGGAGCCTTGTATAAGAAGTCTTTTACCGGGCCGTATCTGAAGTACGTTCACCCTGCTAAGGTGGAAGCCTTCCTTTATGAGATCCATGAAGCCATCTGCGGCAGCCATACTGGGGGTAGGTCACTGGCTTACAGAGCAATTTCCCAAGGTTATTGGTGGCCGTGCATGCAAGCAGACGCGCAGAAATACGTTCGCCGATGTGAAAAGTGCCAAAAATTTGCTCACCAAATCCACCAGCCAGCGCGAGAATTGCTCCCCCTTATAAGTCCTTGGCCGTTCGCACTCTGGGGATTGGATATAGTAGGGCCACTCCCAGCAGCCCCGAGCAATCGCAAATTCTTCATCGCCGCCACCGATTACTTCACAAAGTGGGTTGAGGCTGAGCCACTGGTGACCATAAAGGAAAAGGATGTGAAGAAGTTTGTTTGGCAAAATGTTATCACTCGCTTCGATATACCCAATGCCCTCATCTCAGATAATGGCACTCAATTCGATGGGAAACTCTTTCGCGAATTTTGCGAAGAGTTGAAGATCGAATTCTATAATTCAACACTGGCCTATCCGCAGTCAAATGGTCAAGCAGAGGCCTCAAACAAGACCATCCTGGACGAGCTGAAGAAGCGGCTTGAGAAGGCCAAGGGAAAGTGGGCTGAAGAACTCCCTAGCGTACTCTGGGCGTACCGCACTACGCCAAGACGGTCGACCGGAGAGACTCCGTTTGCCTTGGCCTATGGCATGAAAGTCGTTATCCCGCTGGAAATTGGCATGCCAACCATCCGGTCCGAAAGCTTCCAGCCAGATTTGAACAATAAAGCAGTGGCATTGAAGCTAGACCTTGCCGAGGAAAGGAGGGAGCGGGCCCTAATCCACATAGCGGCCTATCAGCAAGAACTCTCCAAGAAATACAACAAGGCTGTGCACCCCAGGCTGTTCAAGATCGGGGACTGGGTCTTAAGAAAAGTGCTGGGCAACACGGTGATCCCTGGCGAAGGAAAACTCGGTGCAAATTGGGAAGGACCATACAAGGTGACTGGTTTCGCTGGCAAAGGGGCATACCATCTGGAAGATTTAGATGGCAAAGCTATCCCCAGACCGTGGAATGCAGCCAACCTTAAGATCTTTTACTTTTAAAATGTAATTGCTTAGCTTTTTAGACCTTCAGCCTTTTGGCATTTGATGTAAAGATAGCACTGCTTTTTGTAATGAAAAATAGCCCTCTTATTGTTTTGTTTCACATCTTTCTGTGCAATGACACCGTAAGGATACAAGGCCACAGTGGATGCCAGGGGCAGAGAGACTAACCTGAATGGGACCAGACTGATTTTCTCTCGCCGGTATAGAAATAGACCGCACAAACAGTTGGTGTATTGTCCAATGAAATGATTGGCGTATGGTCCAATTCACATAAGGACCGAGCTGGTTTTTTGCTCGCCCAATTGGGATGTTGGCGTCATGTCTAACTTAAATGAAATATTGGTGTTTTGCCCAATGTAAAGGCCAAGTTGATTCTGCTCGGCCAAAACAAAATGTTGGTGTTTTGCCCAACCGATAATAGTCGAGCTGACTTTGCTCGGCCAAGCGATATGTTGGTGCCTTGTCCAACTTACAAGAAGCCGAGCTGACTTTGCTCGGGAAAAAAAAAAATGTTGACGTTCTATCTAACTCCTAGGCCAAGCTGATTTTGCTCGGCCATGTCGGAATATTGGTGTGTTGTCCGATCTAAAGACCGAGCTGGTTTTGCTCGGCCAAAGTGAAATAATTGTGATTTGTCCAACTTCTTTTAGGGCCGAGCGGATTTTTGCCCGCCCAAAAACAGGACTTGAAGTGTTGTCAAAGCCAGAGCGGCAGTGGTAATTTTTTCTTGGCCGAATGAAAATTTTTGGGTTCTTTCGAAAAATCAAAGAACCGAGCTGCCAGTTGATTCGTGGGCATTTCAGTTGAAGAAATTCTGATTTTAGCTTGGCATATTGCGCGGCATTGTCGACCTACCAGTTGTGATGCATTAAAGTTTGAACGAAGAAATTTGCACGTGCCAACCGAATAGAAATAGGAGTTATATGAGCAAAAAGTTCAAATTTCATTGATCAAGGAAATTGCATTACAAGTGAGGGGCTTAGCCTGGTTACAAAAAACAAAAGCAAGCAAAATAGAAAGGAACATCTTCAATCCAACTCCAGGTCGACCGTCTGCTCGGCGACTTCCACAGTCTGCTCGGCGACCTCCGCGGTGTGCTCAGGCAAGCCTTCCGCCTCATCGCCAGCGCCCTCCACGGCGGCAAACTCCCGATCGGCCACTTGATCTTCCGCATTTTGAGATGCTTCAAGAGAAGTTTGCTCGGTTTGTTGCGCGACTGTGGCTTCTTCCGCGGCTTCCTTTTTGGCCTCCTCTATGAGCCTCTTCTGCGCGACGCTCGCATAGGCCTGCATATAGTTCGGTATGAAGGCCGCAGGCGGATGTAGGAACATGTCAGCATCCTAACCAAGGCCAACTTT